TCAACACCAACACAACATAAAACCCAACAAAATCACATGATTCATTAAAATGAGTACTTTTTTTTATTTCTTCATCTAGCACTGTGTGAATTATTTTAGAATTAATTATTTTTTTAACAAACCGAGTGTTAACATAAACACAACACCAAATTAAAATGACACGGCCCAAATATGACATGGCACAACACTAAGATGGCTCTACAAGATCGAACCTACACCCCTAGCCATCCCTTCCTTTACTGAATGCCAGCATTCTAAACACCATGCCACCGAGGCCGGCCCAACAGTATGGAAAAAAAAAAAAAGCATGGGCATTAGGTCCCAAATTAGTTGAAGGTCCCATAATTTTAGTTACATCACTAGTATAGAAAAAAAATTAAATCCATTGAATTTTAAGTCCTACAAAAAAGCCCCAAAAAAATTAAATTCAATCAAAATTTTTATTGCAATAATTTGAGCTTATAATCCAATTCATAACATTAAAAACTTAGAAATTAAAAAAATACTCAAAAGTTAACTCATATTTATTTCCACCCACTTTCTCTCTCTCTCTCTCCACAATAAAAAAAATAAAAAACAAAAATAAAAGTTGAAATTAAACACTCTCTCTCAGTCCCTATGGTAAAAAACAAAAACAAAAGTTGAAATCTCTTTCTCGACAATATTAACGTATCCTTCTTTTGTCTCCCTCTTACATAAAAATTAAAAATAAATAATTATTTTTAAAAAAATAATACTAAAAATAAAAAGACTTCCATTTAATATTTTCGCTTTAGACCTTAAATTGACTTGGGCCGCCTTGCATGCCACATACACATCTGGTCTCATACTGGTTGTGAAGTTAGAGTCATACTTAATTGAGATTATAATTGCAAAAACTGCAAAAGATATCTCACTGTAATATTAGTAGAACCTAAAAAAAAAAAAACACTGTAATATTTACTACTGTAACAAGTTAAGCATAAGTATTAGATAGACCATGAAAAATCATTTTGAACTTACTCTCAATTTCCTCCTTTAGCTTCTTATGCTTCCTCTTTCTTCGACAGATAAGAATGCAAACAATAAGAATCACTATGGCGACAATTGAAGAGACAACAATAATTACCGTTCGAGCTTTGTTATTGTTTTTTCCTGCAATCCATAGAAACCATGCTGTCATCTTCCTTGATCATTTCTAAGCAGTCCACCTATTGCTGCAGAGCCAGGGTTCCCTTTCAAGCTACCATCCACATTCATCTTCGTCCATCCTATAGGAGGGAAAAACGAACCAATGAGTTTGGGGGGATTAGGAATAACGTTGGTATGGGATTCATTGAATGCATCCGATGAATCCCGAGCCATTGTCCAAACTTTCTTAGCAATGATATGTGGGGGGGTTTTTGTGTTGCCCAAACATTCTTGATTCCTATCTTTTCAGATGTTCCATAATAGAGAAGCAAATAGAATGGGCCATTTCACTCCTTTCCAACAAATATTCTTTCTAGCTTCATAGTTTTTAATGAGCCAGCTATGGAGGTCCAAAAATTGATCTAGGAGGAGATCCTTCCTGTTAAGGAATGAATCCCAATCCAGACCAGCCTTCGGGCAATCTCTTAGAATATGAATTGTGCTTTCATTGTGAGCCCTACATCTCTCACAAGAGGGATCAATCGTGAGGTTTCTTGTGAACCTCGGGGAGTTGGAGAGGAGTTTGTCGCTTTGGACCAGCCATAAAAAGTGCTTGAGTGTCTATGGTATCCCAAGTTTCCAAAGCCAATTTCAGTTCAATCCATACTGCTGACTTAGGTTAGGTTTAGAGATCCAGCTATAAGCAGATTTAATAGAGGATTTTCCATTTTTAGTAAGGCCCTAGGGAGGAGAGTCTCCATGTGAGCCTTTCAGAGGCAGTAAAGAGTACAAAAGGTTAGATATGATGTTAGAGGGAAGGTACATACCTACTTTTTGAATATTCAGTTACCTGTGGGGCATATGATCTCTGCCACTGTGCTGTTTGGGTCGGTTGATGACGGAATTTGCATCTTGCTATGTAGTGAGCTATCACCTATCTACCAATCATTCCACAGTGAGACTTTTGAACCATTACCAATGAGCCATTTTGTATTCTTCTTCACCACATTATTGGTTTTTAACAAGGTTCTCCAAATTGGAGAAGCATTAGATTTAAGTGACCAATCTTTCGAGGATGGGTTCATGTACTTGTTTTTGATCACTTCAACCCATAGGGACTTACTCTCAAAATGCAACTTCCAGCCTAGTTTAGAAAAGGTAGCAAGGTTGTTCTCCCTACATTTCCTCAGGCCCAGTCCCCCAAACTTCTTAGGGGAGTAGATAGTGTCCCAATTAATCAAGTGAACCTTTTTTTCTCTCATCAGGATCCCCAAAAAGGAAGTTTCTATTTAACCTATCAATTCTATCACAGATGGACTGAGGTAGCCATGAAGTTTGCATAGTATAGGTAGGGATGGTTGAGGTAACAGCTTGAACAAGAGTGTTTCTCCCTGCCAATGAAAGGTTCTTAATTTTCCACCCACTCAATTTCTTTTGAATGTTACCAATCAATGAGTTATAGTGATCCTTAGTAACTCTCTTATGAATGATAGGGATGCCTAGATACTTCCCTAGGTCTTCTTAATATTAGGAGAGAAATAGACTCTAGACTTTGACATGCTTACTTTTTGACCTGTGATAGAACAAAAATCTTCCAAGACAGCTTTAACCATGTCGCAATCTTTTTTTGTAGCCCTAGAGAAGAGAATGATATCATCCACAAAGAGAAGATGAGTAATGACATGACCTTTTCTAGAGGTTTTGATGCCCCTCCATAAACCCTTATCAACTTTATTTTGAATGATCTGCCCTAATTTCTCCATACACAGTGTAAATAAGTAGGGTGACAGTGGGTTGCCCTGTCTAAGATCTCTTCTAGGGTTTATAAGATTCAAAGGGGATCCATTCCACAAGATCGAAAGGGAAGACCCTATCACACAGCTCATAATCAAGTCAATTCAATCAACGTTTGGTGAAGGAAGGGCCAACTTACTCTATCATAAGCTTTTTCAAGCTTGATTTTAATAACCATCCTTCCATTTTTACCTTTCCTTTTCCTTAATGAGTGAATAATTTCCTGAGTGACAATAAAATTATCAATGACCTGAAGCCCAGAGATGAAACTACTTTGAAAAGGAGAGACAAGTTTATCTAGAAAAGGTCCAAGTCTTGAGACCAGCAAATTAGACACTATTTTATAGCTAACATTGCACAAGCTTATAAGTCTAAACTGTGAAGGTAAGGAGGGATTATCAATCTTTGGAATAAGAGAAATCCAAGTTTTATTAATATCCCCTGGACACTTTTTACTACTTATGATCTCTTTAATTTGTTGGCACACTGAGTTTCCAATAACATCCCAGTATCTTTGGTAAAAAAATAGCTTGAAGTCCATCTGGTCCAAGGGATTTGTGAGATTTGATACTAAAAATAGCTTTTTTGATTTCAAAGTCCATAACCTGGGTATCAAGGATCTGTTTGTCAATCTAGTCCAGTTTTGCTTATAGTCTATACTGGTTGTGGTCACTATGGTTGAAATTCTCGGTCTCAAAAAGATTTTTATGGAAAGCTTGGATAACTTCTTCAATCTCATTTTTCCCTGAAACCCAAATTCCCTTATCATTTGTCAAAGATTGGGGTATGTTCCTTTTTCTTCTCACCTATCACTTAGCTTTGTCCAATTAGTTCTAGATTTTTGGTGCTAGAGGGTTTCCTCTTGCTCAAGGATGTGATGATATTCAATTTGAAGTTGTTCTTCCAGTCTTTCAAGGTTATGGGAGTAGAAATTGTCTTGTGCTTTTTGAATGCCTTCAAGTGTGGCCAAAACCCTTCTTTTCCTTTGAAAAATGTTACCAAAATTACTTTTATTCCATTCTTTAGCATTATGTTCAAAGATTTTAGTTGCCATGGAAAAGTTATGGTTGGCTTGGTTCCAAGAATTGACAACAACATTTCTAAAATCTGGTTTAAATAACCACATTGCCTCGAGTCTAAAGGGTCTAAGAGAGGAAGAGTTAGTAGGGTTACCTTCAATAAGGATGAGGAGAGGGCAGTGGTCAGAGTATGTTCTCGGTAGATTTCGTACTGTTGCTTTTGGAAATTGGAGGGTCCATTCCACGTTAGCCAATGCACGATCAAGTCTTATTTTTGTATTAGCCAACCCTTTTCGTTTGTTGTTCCACGTTAGTCTTGGTCCATTACATCCAAGGTCGATCAGGCTGCATCTGTTGATTCTATTGTTGAATTTTCTACTTTTATTACCTTGATCCGAATGCCTGCCTCTTCTCTCTGATTGATTTGCATAGTCGTTCAGGTCACCTGCCACCAACCAGGAGTGACTATATTTATCACCAGTGCTACTTAGATTATCACATAAGTGCTCCCCGTTCGTTGGGTTTGGACTTCCATATACCACTGAGAGCAGCCACTCGTTGAAGTCGATCTGCACAATATGAGCATGAATGGCTTGGGAGGTAGCTTCTTGGATACGGACCGTGACGTTTGAGGGATCCCAAAGGAGCCAGATACCTCCAGCTCTTCCATGTGGTTCCATTTTTTCTGACCTTGTGAGACCAAATTGTTCAAAAAAATTCCCCATCCACATCCGGATTGTGTGCCCTAAATTGATCACCAAAAGTCCTTCGAAACCTTTCATTACCTGCACCTCTATAGTTCCATGTCAAGATCTTCATAGAATGATTCATTAAAAGGGGGGAGGGGAACATCATCACTAAAACCCAACACCATCCTGACTTGATTCCTCCTCTCGATGAGAGTGACTACTGGCATCATAGAGATTTTTGTTATGTCTGTCGGTCGAGGTTTTGAGAGAACAAGGTTTTATCCTCAAAAGGATCTCCTTGATCTCCCAGTTGGTAGTAGCTAGCCATTTGCTTTCCTCTCTCGCTCTGAATACAAGATCCATGGTATTGTTGATCAGGTTGAAGTACCTTAAGGGGTTTGGTTCCATTCTGGGTACGGTTTAGAGGCTCTTGATCAAGAGGTTTCGATATCATGTGGGTATCCTCCGATGTGTTGTTCTTTAGAACATCTAGAGAAATTGTATCTTTAGGAGATGAAAGGCTTGGGAAGTCATGGAGTTGAGGACCTACTCCATTCTCCGATGCCATGTGATTTCCTGAAGATGTTTGAGCCCCTGGATACACTGCAACTCCCAAAGTCTTTTGCAAATCGTTGGATCTTATCACAAAGCTCGAGGAGACAGCTGCTTGGGTCATTCCTGAAGGTTGAACCTTCCATTGGGTTGTCTGGGTCATTCCAGTTAGCTTGGCCTTCCCTTGGGCTGCTTCCTTTTGTGTTGCTCGGTCACGTTGTCTTCTATAGCCTATTCTTGGGCCTCTACTAGGGTGGGTTTCCTCGTCTTTCCCTCTGGGTTGAGATCTGTTCCGATATAGGCCTTGAGTGTAGGTTTGGAGTTCGGATGGATCAGAAGACATGAGTTCAAGGGCCTTAAATTTATTTGGATTAGTCACATTACTTGTTCCCTGTTGCTTGAATCTTATTCTTCTGGGTTGGGCTATCATCCAAGGCCTAAAATTCATGTCCTTTTCCTGGGGTAGGTGTGCAACGTTCGGCTCTACAGACGACCGTTCTTCCGTGTAAGGTATAGCAGGTTATGTGGAGTGAGAGACTGCTGTAGAGTGACGATGCTCATCGGCGGTTGTCGGTGGCTTTTTTCCGATGGAATAGGAGCAGAGGAACTCCTTATGGCCGACTCTTCCACAGTCAAAACAAATAGAGTGGATGCATTAGTATTCCACCTTGAACAACCTTCCACCTAATCGATAGTGTGAAATCAGTGGTTTATTTAAATCCCTCTCAGCGCATTGTTGAACAATCTAAAGAAATACAAGAGATAAGAACAGAGGAGGTTAATGTTTTATTGATACTGCATAATTGAATTGAAATACAATGAACTTCTTTAACTTAAATACAAAGAGATTATATATAAGCTAAATAAGGCAGGAAAAGTAAAGGACTATTCTACCCTTAATAAACAAAATAACCCTATATTTCTTAACATCTCCCCTCAAACTCACGATGCAGCAGCGACAAGCTTTGAGAGTTTGCCAACTAGAAAAAAACGGGAAATAGAATGCGACTTGGTAAAGAAATTTGCAATCTGCAAAGAAGAAGAAACAAATGACAAAGTAATGGTGCTATGCTTGAGATGATGACGAGTAAGATGACAATCGATCTCAATGTGTTTAGTTCGTTCATGAAAAATCGAGTTGTGAGCAATCTGAATAGAACTCCGGTTGTCACAATACATAGGAGTGAGATGAGAAAGAGAAATTATCATATCTGCAAGTAATCAACGTAACCAAACAATCTCTTTGGTAGTAGATGCCATAACACGATATTTTGCTTCGGTTGAAGATTGAGAAACAATAGATTGTTTCTTGCTCTTCTAAGAAATAAGAGAATCACCCAAAAAGATACAGAAACCAGTAACAAATTTGTGATCTGTGGGATCACTGTCATGATCAGCGTCAGAGTATGCACACAGCTCCAAGGAAGAGGTGGATGGAAGTAAAAGGTTCTGAAAGACTGTACCCTGAAGATACCTTAAAATATGAAGAATCGCTGCCCAATGAACTGTAGTAGGAGAAACAACAAATTGACTAACAACATGAACAACATATGCAATATCTGGACGAGTAATAGTGAAATATACCAAGCTCCCAACAATAGTACGGTATAAAGTAGGATCTGACATAGGTAAACTATCAGAAGAGGAATACTTTGCGTTAACCTCAATGGGAGTATCTACAGTCTTATTATCAGTAAGTCTTGCTCGCTCAAGAATATCTGTAACATATTTCGACTGAGAAAGAAGATAACCTCTAGGTAAGCAGGCTGCCTCAATAGCCATGAAATATCGTAGAGAACCTAAATCCTTTATTTCAAACTGTCTAGCTAACTCTGTCTTCAAAACTGAAATACCATTAATATCATCACCAGTAATAATTATGTCATCAACATATAAAGACAGAATGATACGACCTGTATCAGTGCACTTAACAAAAAGAGCAGAATCATGACTACTAGAAGTAAACCCAAGGGAAGAGATCACAACAGAAAATTTCTCAAACCAAGCACGAGGTGCTTGTTTGAGACCATATAACACTTTCTTGAGCTTGCAAACATACCCAGAATCATGTGAAACACTAGAAGGGGGAGCTATATAAACTTCTTCTTGAAGATCCTCATTCAAGAAGGCATTTTTAACATCAAGTTGAGAGATATGTCACTAACGAACCGAAGCAACTGTAATAAGAATACGAATAGTAGTCATTTTTGCAACAGGAGCAAATGTCTCCTCATAATCCATATCATACTGTTGAGAGTACCCTTTTGCAACCAACCTAGCTTTGTATCGCTCAACAGATCCATCAGAATTGGTCTTAATTTTATACACCTATCGACAACCAACAACACTCTTACCAAGAGGTAGAGGAACCAAATCTCAAGTACCTGTCTTATGCAAAGCAGAAAGTTCCTCATCCATAGCTTGCGGCCAAAGAGGGTCAAAAATTGCCTCTTTATAGGAAGAGGGCTCAGAGAGACAATGAATAGAAGCTAAAAAGGAAGTAAAAGATGAAGAATAATAAGAATAAGTAAAATCTGGTAACTTTGTGGACTTACAAATGCGTGTGGATTGACGTAGAGGTGGATCCACAATCTCAGACGGAGCTTGAGGGACCATAGGAGAGGAGGTAACTTTAGGTGTGCTAGAGAGTAAAGTGTCAGTACCTGTAGAATGATCAGTGTTGTTATTTGAAGTATTAGAAACATGAGATGACAAACTATCAAAATTCTCAGAAAAAGGATCTATACCAATAAGATCAGATCTAGTCAAGCTATAAGTAGTGGATGAAATAGAAAAGAAAGGTATATGCTCAAGAAAAACAAAATGGCGAGACACATAAAATTTTTGAGTTATTGGATCAAAACAATGATACCCCTTTTTACCTTCACCATATCCAAGAAAGACACAAATAACAGATCGAGAGGACAGCTTGTTGTGTTCAACATGAGGACGAAGAACGAAACAAGTACAACCAAAAACTCTAAATGAAGAATAATCAGGGGCATACCCATACAACTTTTTGAAAGGAGAAACACCTGAAATATGAGAAGATGGAATTGTATTAATCAAACCTACAGCAGTAAGAATAGCTTCACCCCAAAACTCACTAGGAACAGAAGAAGACAACAAGAGAGAACGAGCAGTTTCAACAATGAGCCTATGTTTTCTTTCAGCAACACCATTTTGCTTAAAAGTATCTGTACACGAAGTTTGGTGAATAGTTCCATCTAAGGCAAGCAACTCAACAAATTTATTAGAAGTGTATTCCCCACCCAAATCACACCTAAAACATTTGATAACAACAGAATGTTGAGTTTTGACAAGAGCTCAAAAGGTTGTATATATCTAAAAGAATTCAGAACGATGTTTTATTAAATAAATCCAACAATAACGAGTATGATCATCAATAAAAGAAACATAATATTGAGACCCTCCTTTTGTGGTAACAGGAGAAGGTCCCCATACATCAGAATGAATCAAATCAAATGGAGAAGAAGAAACAGAAATACTTCAATTAAAAGGTAAAACTGAAAATTTTGCTAGTTTACATCCACTACAATCAGAAATATCACAAGTTTTCAAATTTCTAAAGCCCCTGTGGATGCCAAAAATCTCAAATGAGAAGACGAAACATGACCTAAACGAGAATGCCATAAATAAAAACTAGAAGAAGAAGGATTCAAACGAAAAGAAGATAAATCAACACTAGTAGCAGCAGCAACAATTAACACTTTTAACTCATCCAAAATATATTGTCCCCCTTCCTACGGCCTGTCCCAATCAACTTCTAAGATTGCAGATCCTGCACATAACAAGAAGAAGAGGAAAAGGTGACTAAATTTCCAGAATCACATAATTGACCAACAGAAGCAAGATTTAATGTGAGTTTTGGAATATGATAAACATTAGGGAGAGACAAGTGAGGTGTGACAACAGAACTAACACATGCTAAAGGCATAGGAGTGCCATCAGCAGTCATAACATGAATAGAAGGTGAAGGAAATGCAGAAGCAAAAGATGAAGAATCTGGAGACATATGATGTGAGGCACCAGAATTGTATTAATCAAGCTCTGATACCATGTTGAACAATCTAAAGAAATACAAGAGATAAAAAAAGAGGAGGCTAGGGTTTTATTAATACTGCATAATTGAATTGAAATACAATGAACTACTTTAACCTAAATACAAAGATCATATATAAGCTAAACAAGGCAGGAAAAGTAAAAGACTATTCTACTCTTAATAAACAAAATAACCCTATATTTCTTAACACGCATATCCTAGCGAATCTTCCTCTCTCCGCTGTTGCAGTTTTAATGTCCTTTTTGATTGGTTTCCCTAGGGCTATAGCATTTTGGAACAGTATAGCTTCATCGTAATATTCAAGAGGCAGTTCTGGTAGTCTTAACCAGAGGGCAGTAGCAATTTCTGTAGCTCTTGATGGTATGAAATCTGGCTCCCATTTTCTAACTATAAGATAGTGGTTCATGATGATCTATGGACCACCAGAAAAAACCCTGTGGCAATCTTCCCTAACATGAAATTTGAACAAAAAGAATCCATTATCAAGATCAATGGCGTAATCTCCTTGGAGATTCCATAAATTTCTTACCTTCATACATAGGACCTTGTATCCAATGCTTTTCCCTAGGAGCTTAACCAATAGACCCTCTTTCCGTCTGTTTCTAATTCTCTGTAGCATTTTTGGGAGAAGGTTAATACTTGGGCATAACTCATCCGATGTATCAATCGTTGTGTGCCTATTCCTTCCTCTTGGTGACTCGTCCTGAGTTTCCTCCTCCATCTCCTTTTGACCCTCTTCATAGTTTTCCACGTCAAAATAGATGGTGTTATCATCTTCCATAAGCGCTGCCTTATAGTTCCTATGTGATTTCTTATCTTCAGTAAAGATTTTTTCCTGTAATACCAGATCTTGAGACTGTTGGGCTAGTGAAGCACCTGGGTCAATCAGCATTCCATCATCCTCCAGATTCCCATGGTGTTCCTTGACTTTCTTTGTGCTTCTTCCAAGGTGGTCCTCCTCTTCTTCGAAAATTTTCTGCATTTCTCGTTGGTCCTCATCCATTTGAATCAGATCTTGGCTTGTCGGTGAGAAAGATGGGTTGATGAAGCCTCTGGCTTCTTTCTTCTCCTTGTTGCTTTTTAGTGAGAGAAAGCTTCACTCTCGGTTTTCAACAAAAAAGAACACACATTATTTTATATTTTAAACACACACACATACTCCACACCTTAAAAACACACAGTCACACTCGGCGCACACACACACACACACACACACACACAACCACTTAGCTTGGAAAATAACTCACCTACTTAATATA